GGAGGGTGGGTGTGCATGGAGGGGGCGGGGGAGCGCCTCTTCTTTTTTTGGTTTTGAACTGGTTATGGCATGATCCTCATTGCATCAGTGAGTAAATTGCATTTATTCAGTTGAATGTTGATTTTGTTAACCGTTTGCAACCTAAGCTAACTCCAGCGTGTTGGTTTTGGTTTTTTTAAGTGGGTGGTAAGAGAGAACATCAAACTTAGGGATTTTTAGATCTGGATGCATCCGGGAGAATTAGGTTGGGTTAATTTATGCAGTGTTCTAACGAGATGCATTCAGACCTTTAAATAGACATGGTCTGTGTTTAAATATTGTTAATATAACTTCCAGTTACTCCAAATTTCTTAGCAAGGCAATATCTGAATATTAGTGTTTTGTCCCGATGATTAGTAAAAATCGGAGTAGGAGCAGAAACTGGAACTGGAAATTAGTGGAAAACGTGCAATCAAACAAGTCCAATGCAAAGCATATCCTTAAATTCTCAGCTGCAGTTAAGGAACTCATGGGAGCGTGTAAATGTGGGTTTGTATTTTAACTTGACCCTTTCCCCTGCTGAGCAGCATCTTCTGCAGACTCCACAGCGGTGTCCACTGAGGTGCTTTTCTCCAGGGAGGGGAGGGTTTGTCTGGAGCCTGCCTCCCTCTGCTTGACCTTGTCTTCCCTTTTTTATCCTCCTGCTTCTTTTTTACACTTTTGTCTGAAAGGCGGCTGGCTTTCCCAGCCTGCTTGCCCCGCCGGGCTGTGCCGCTGAGCACGTTTGGCGTGGGGAGAGCCTTCACTTCTCGCGCTTAAGAGTTTTCTCACTTGGTGGAAACCTTTTGTCTTCTGTGTCTCTTGATCGGGCCGCCTCGTTAATTATGTTGAAGGAGCACTTGGCAGCACCCCGAGTCCTGGCTGGGGTCCCGCGCTGCACAAACCCATGACAGGGTCACTACCCCTCAGCTTACAGCTGATGTCCAGGGTGAGGATCAGCAGGGGGCTAAGAGTATAAGGATGAGAAGTATGGCCAGGCTTGCGACCTAGACTGTGCAGTAAGCTGCGGCTGTAGCATGGCAGCTTTTAACGAGGAATGGCTGTAGATTGCTCTGAGATCCTCGGAAAGGTCCCAGAGAAGGACAGCGTTGTTATTTATTCTGTTTGCATAGTTACTGTAACTTCCTTTCCCCTCTTCCCCAAAATACCTAATTATCCTACGTTTTCTGTTGCTGTGAGCAACATTTCCCATAGTTACCCAGAGCTGCAAT